TCGTACTTTACTTTAAGTTGATATCTGTCATTTTTACACCAACCACATTTTATATATTCGAATAACTTGAATATTCACTCGTACTTTACTTTAACTTGATATCTTTCATTTTTACACCAACCACATTTTATATATTCGAATAACTTGAATATTCACTCGTACTTTACTTTAACTTGATATCTTTCACGAACAGTTTGTGAAATTTTTATGTAGTCTTCGTCTTTTTATAACAAAAAATATTTTGAAGATGTTTTGTTAATATAAAGATGAAGAAGAGTATACAACTGATTTTGTTGCGTGACAACAACCTTGTAAGACTAATGAAACATGAATTATCTAATATCTCTGTACACCCTTTTCTACATCTACTCTTTGTAGACCTAAGATTTTAAAATATGGTAAGTAGTTAGCTGACAGGAAGACTTAATCAAATTAAAATAAAAGTACGTAGACCAATCATCTCGTTTAAGAATGTCACAAAACTTTAGGATTTTACACGAAACGAAATTATTTAATGGACACTTAAGCATGTTTCCTTTTACAAAGGTTAATATTTCAAGAAGCTATGCAAGAGAACATACATTATTGATGATGTTATACGTGACGGTGTTAACAAAATGTTGGCTTTTCCTCACACAGCACCATCTAATCCCTTAGTGGTAGAACAATATTTCTCCACTATCTCAACCAGGTAGCCTCGCTAGCTACCAGAACGTAAGCGTTATCTAATAACTGGATATTAAATGCTATTAAATCAGTTTGAAATATTGTTCGTATTAGACCTAAAATGTACAGCAGACTTAGTAATTTAGATATCTATATATATTATTTTAGATTCTCGGATAATGGTCGTACTTTTCATATATGTTTAAAGAAGATAAGGTAGGCTTGTCTCATTGGTTAACTGGCTTTTTGGTCCAAAGTAGTCGATGCTCGTAATTTAAGTGTGTACATCACACTACTTGAACGTGTTCAACAATTCAGTACATCAGGTGTGCATTCGGTAACAGTTTTGTGCATAGCCCATATGCCAATTTGCCTGGGTAGATCTCTGTCTACATCTTTATCTGTCTTAAGTTGTTCAGTCATCTATATGCCTGAGTAGATCTCTGTCTACTTCTTTATCTGTCTTAAGTTGTTCAGTCATCTATATGCCTGAGTAGATCTCTGTCTACTTCTTTATCTGTCCGGTTCCTTTTATAGTTGCTCACATTAAGCGCCCACTTGTAGTATCTTAAGTGGCCATATAAAGAAATAGACAGACATTTACTCAGGCATATAGATGACTGAACAACTTAATATATGTGGACAGATAAAGAAGTAGACAGAGATCTACTCAGGCATATAGATGACTGAACAACTTAATATATGTGGAAAGATAAAGAAGTAGACAGAGATCTACCAGGCATGTAGATGACTGAACAACTTAATATATATGGACAGATAAAGAAGTAGACAGAGATCTACTCAGGCATATAGATGACTGAACAACTTAGTATATGTAAAAGAAAGAATAAGAACGTTCCATTAATTGTTTGCGTTTTCTTGTTATCTGCTATAGTAATTTAGTATAATTTAAGGGTTGATGGTTACCCGGTTTGCAGTTCATTTTCGATCACGAGAAACTAACTAGTGCTTGAGTGTTTAACGAAATATAGCAATTCACATGTTGGAGGGTAGACTTACCGTACATATAGGTGACAATAAAGTGCACACGGTTACTCCATTCAAAAGGCTCCATCACGGTTGATCCTGTAACACAAAAACAAAGAGTTGTGGTCAACATATTGCGCAAACTTTACTTTGAAATACTTGTAAAATATAGCTTTAGCTATATAATAATACTTTATAATATAATACTTTATAACTATATAATACTTTAGTTCAAATCTCCGTCACCGAACATGCTTGCCCTTTCAGCCGTGAAGGCGGTATAAGGTAACGATCAATCCCACTATTCATTAGTAAAAGAGTAACCCAAGAATTGGCGTTAGGTAGTGTTGACTAGCTGCGTCCCCTCTGATCAATCACTGTTAAATTAGGGGCGGCTAGCGCAGATAACCCTCGAGTCCCTTTGCGTGACAGTCAAAACAAACAATAAGGCTTTAAAATTATAAGACCGGTAATGAATACATGTGTTTTGATGTTTATGAGCTAATTCACGTTATTATTATTATCACTACGTAAAACGTGTATTGGGTTTACTAATAATAATTCGTTCGTTATTATTATGTAACCGAGTAGAGATTAAATGGTAATAAAATAAGTGAAAAGAAACCGAACTGTATTATAATCCACTTCTTTTATAACCGCGCATCCACTGTAGTCGGAAAGTTTGTTTGTTTGTTTTGAATTTCGCGCAAAGCTACACGAGGGCTATCTGCGATAGACGTCCCAAATTTAACAGTGTAAGACTAGAGGGAAGGCAGCTAGTCATCATCACCCACCACCAACTCTTGGGGTACTCTTTTACCAACGAATAGTGGGATTGACTGTCACATTGTAACGCCTCCACGGCTGAATAGGCGAGCATGTTTGGTGGAACGGGGATTCGAACACACGACCCTCAGATTGCGATTCGAGCGCCCTAATCACATGGCCATCTTTTATACTGGCTTACTCTTTGGAATCGACTTAGTCTTTTGTATCACATTTATGTATCACATTTATTTAACACATTTATGCTTTAGTAAAGAACTACCATTTTCTTTCTAATGAAGCTATTTTGGAAGAATGACTAGTGAAAATTATTTCAGTGTCTCTAAACTTGTATGTAAGATCGTTAGCTTGAAACAAAACATGTTATTCCCGGAATTTCTAAAATGATAAAAGCTAATCATAACAATCTAGTCCTGTTGTCTTCTTGTTGTAAGGTTTAATCTCTAAGCAACCTACGTTTATTCCGGAACACTGCATTTCTTTAATTTCAATATGACATATAACATTTTGCATTTTCTTTTCAAACCTGTGTAATCCGGACATCTTTCATGTGGTGAGTCATTTGAATGTCTTTCTTTCTGTAAAATTATAAACTGCTTTGTTATATTATTTGCCTGAGCTGGTTGTAGCCTAGGCTTAGTGTGTTAAGTTTCGGATCAAAGTGACCAGGGTTCGAGACGTGGTACTACTGATGCTTAACACGCACGTTCGGCTCTTATAGCGACATAAAAGTTCCAGCCAATGCTGTTATTTGATTCGAAAAGATGGAGGAAAAAATGGAGAATGATTTTGAGGCAGATGTTGCTGCTGGATGGCTACCTTCTCTGTAGTGAGCAGTTCAAAGAAGGATTGGCTACACCTGAACCCTATGTGTCTCTGACATAGACGTTTAGCAACGTGCGAATAAAATGTATTCAGGTTGAACATTCCAATATTAATGTATTTTCATGCCCTATGTAGTATCTTTGGGTATCTTCAAATATATAATTTTGTAGACTTGTCATGACCGGGTAGTTAGAGCACTCGACTCGTAATCTGCGGGTGTCGGGTTCGAATCCTGTCACTGGAAATGTTCGCCCTTTCAGCAAAGTAGGAATTATAATAGGAAGATCAATCACGCTATTCGTTGGTAATGAGTTGGCGGTGGATGTTATTGACTTGCTGCCTTCCCTCTAGTCTGTCACTTCAAAATTATGGACGTTCAGTGCAAATAGCCCTCGAGTAGCCTTGCGCGAAATTCAACAAAAACACTAACTCATTTAATACATCTCTACGAAGTGATTTAATTGAGGCAGGACACATTTAGCTGACCATCGTAAAACGAAGCCACAATTTACATGATGCTTTCCGTATAGTAACTCTTATTTTAAAATCCCTACAAATGTTTTAAGTTGTAGATTAAGGTACATGATGCGTGAACTTAGTTTATACAACCTACGTATAGTATAAAATATTCATGACTTTTACAAACAGTGCCGGCCTGGCATGGCCAGGTGGTTAAGGCACTCGACTCGCAATCTGAGGGTCGCGGGTTCGAATCCCTGTCACACCAAACATGCTCGCCCTTTCAGCCGTGGGGGCGTTATAATGTGACGGTCAATCCCACTATTCGTTGGTAAAAGAGTAGCCCAATAGTTGACGGTGGGTGGTGATGACTAGCTGCCTTCCCTCTAGTCTTACACTGCTAAATTAGGGACGGCTAGCGCAGATAGCCCTCGTGTAGCTCTGCGCGAAATTCAAAACAAACAAACAAACAAACCAACAGTGCCTCTAGGGAACGATGTCATTATAAGTTTTGTTCCTTGTAACTTATTTTCTTTCGAATGACATCGAAACTTTGGGCAACTAGTCGTCAGAAAGGATACATATATGTATGAAAACTATGTGTTTACGTGTCATAGCAGCTAGATATAAGCGGAGTTCCCCTTTTATTATTTATTAACCCATTTCCGTTTATCCAGAGAATATTCTACCGTTATATAAAGATATATTGTTCATGCTGGTGTCCTTCAGGGGGGAAAAAAAACAAAAAAAAACATTATATAGATTACGGGGCACATAATAGTAAATGTTACATAAACAGTGTTGCATCGTTGCTACGATACAATGATTTATTTATAGTAAAAAAAATTGTTTTGGTGATTAAAAACGCGCGTTTTTAGCTCGGTTAACAAACAGCGTATGAATGCCTTGCATTCTTCGCCTTCCGACATATAAGATAGGTCTTGTATTTTACGAAACACCTTCTAATGAGACCTCATCAAATCATCAAATGTTCTTTTATGAAATAGGAATTTAATCCAGCAATCTGTTTTTAAAATCTAGCTTGGCGTGCAGAGAAATACGAGATTGTAAAAGGCCTGCATCTAGACCCAAAAAATATTTTCTTGCGCCCAGAGTACAATAAAAGTATACTATTTTACGTATGGTTTAGAGACAAGATAAGAAGGATAATTATACGTATAAAGGTGATCTGAAATACACACTGTTAGAAACAAGAAAAATTACACAGGTAATTAAAACTTAGTTTAAAATATGTGATAAAATATCGAAATCTAGCTGAGTTGAGTTAAGCCTAATAAGCTATTTGCTCACAGAGAAGAGTTATTACCTGATTGGTAAGGCTTAAATACCTTGAGTTAAGCCTAATAAGCTAGTTGCTCACAGAGAAGAGTTATTACCTGATTGGTAAGGCTTAAATACCTTGAGTTAAGCCTAATAAGCTAGTTGCTCACAGAGAAGAGTTATTACCTGATTGGTAAGGCTTAAATACCTACATCGTAGATGACTTGGCTAAGTCTTTTAAATTCTGACACTTTCTTATGGAATGATCAGTAACATGAGAATGTAAGAAGAAAAAATAAGAAGATGTTCGAACTGATAAGTGCCAGCACTTGTACAAACATGACAATGTAAGTAAATAACTTGGTTTGTTGTTATAGGGCAGAATCAGCGTTGTAAGTCCATAAAGTATACTGCTGTCCAACCGGGGGACATGTAAGGAAAAATAAGAAGGGGTGCTCGAACTAATAACTGTTAATATTTGTACAAACATTAGAATGTACGATAAAATTACGATTCGGCTCCTTCGATAACACGAGAGTTTCCAGTACTTTTTCTGCTTGCGTAAATAGCAAACTTGGTTACACCCGATCATACGTTGCGCATTCGGGAAAATACATATTTTGTTTATGTGCAATCATACTTTCTCGATTCAGAAGAAATCATGTTTAACAGCCACTGTTCCTTATCTTTGTTATGGTGAGACCAGTAATGACCTCTGTTACGACTGGATGAGTAATGGCCTTTATTATGAGTGGATCAGTAATGGACTTTGTTATGACTGGCCCAGTAATGGACTTTGTTATGACTGGATGAGTAATGGCCGTTGTTATGATGAGACCAGTAATGGCCTTTATTATGACTGGATCAGTAATGGGATTTATTATAGTGATCCCAGTAATGACCTTTGTTATAGTGATCCCAGTAATGGCCTTTGTTATGATGAGACCAGTAATGGCCTTTATTATGACTGGATCAGTAATGGGATTTATTATAGTGATCCCAGTAATGGCCTTTGTTATGGTGAGACCAGTAATGGCCTTTATTATGACTGGATCAGTAATGGCCTTTATTATGACTGGATCAGTAATGGACTTTGTTATGACTGGAGGATTAATGGCCGTTGTTATGATGATACCAGTGATGGGTTTTATTACGACTGGAGGATTAATGGCCGTTGTTATGATGATACCAGTGATGGGTTTTATTACGACTGGACAAGGAATGGCCTTTGTTATGGTGATACCAGTGATGGGTTTTATTACGACTGGACAAGGAATGACCTTTGTTATGGTGATACCAGTGATGGGTTTTATTACGACTGGACAAGGAATGGCCTTTGTTATGGTGATACCAGTGATGGGTTTTATTACGACTGGACAAGGAATGGCCTTTGTTATGGTGATACCAGTGATGTCCTTTCTTATATGTTATAATGACACCAATTGTCGTTGAACATTTATATCTTAATTAACCTATTACTTGCATATTTCATTTCAACTTTTGAATTTTATTTTGCACAGAATCCCAAGTTCTAGAGTGAACTGTGAAAAACAAAATTATGCTCAGATGGTATTGAAACTGGAAAAGAAAAAAACGTAAAGTAAAATTATTTTTATATTTTATTTCTGATACTTGAACTTTTCCGCTTTAGTATTTCTTTTCACATTTATTCCATAATGAATTCAATGAAAACAATTTATCAAGTAGAGAGAGAGAAAAAGTTCAGCTCCGTCATTAAACTCCAGCTATAACAAACGTATGACAACCTAGGACTAGATGGCATCGAGTATTCAAACTGTAGATGAACTTTGTTATTCAACATTTTAGTTCCTATACTGCTACACCAGGGGGTTATTTAATGCCATATTTATTTGACATGTTTAGAATCACTATCATGCTTAAAAACAGTAAACAATAGAGTTTGTAGTAGACGTGAAAAGAAGCTATTAAAGCTCTAGTTTTGTAAAGAAAATAATCATTACCTCATTAAATATATAATACATAAATACATAATCATTACCCCATTAAATACATAAATACATAATTATTACCTCATTAAATACATAAATACATAATCATTACCTCATTAAATACATAAATACATAATCATTACCTCATTAAACATGTAAGTGTACATATACGTATGTATATATATTTATATACACAACATTCTTTTTTCTATTATACAAATGTACAAAATTTTATGTAAATACATGTGCAGAAGTGATGTGTTTTACGACTAAATGTTTAACGTTTTTGTGTTTCAAACGTATTTTGTGCAGTGCCCATCACGAGTATCGAAAACTGTTGGTTTGTTTAGAATTATAAGCCTTCAGACTTACCGCTGTGCCACTAGGGGTGGTGGTGAACTAGAAATACGTCACACAGATTACCGCATTTAACGTAAATATTGCAGAGATGTAAACTTTTGAATGTAAAAACTTGCGCAAAGAAAACTGTTTTGATGTCGCTGTATAAAATTCGCAAATAAGGATTTCTCTGCTTATTTCACTCTTAATTCGAGTATCAAAAAACTTACTGTGTCCAATAAATTAATTAAACGTCCCTTGTGTATTTGTAAAATATTAAAAGAAAGGCACATAAGACGTTCATTGTTGCACATTAAAACCAATTTTTGTATTATAATTGAATCCTGTTAGGGATGTGCCCTGTTTTAACGTGTCTGATTTTAATGGGACAACAATGAAAGTTGTTTGTGCGTTTTTTCCATATTCCTATGGTCACTTTTAACCTTCATTTGGAAGTACACAACATTACTAAAATAACCCTTGCAACTATAAATAACCAGGCGTGTGCTAGTGATCAGTGTGTACGGACAGTGAATCCGAAGTTTCATAGTTTGCGTTTCGTTGCTCCGCACGTTGAGTCGTAGGTAAACTATAAGAATAACGGTTCAGTCTCGTCAGAAAAGGCTATTCTAAATATTATTTTTGGCACTTGTGTATAATGTTAAAATAATAAATAACACATAACGTTGAAATAGGTACATAATTAAAACCTTTAATTAAGACCAATCTTTGACCACTAAAAAGTTGACTCTACATGTTTCGGTAGGTGTTATTGATCAGCTACTTACTCTCTATACTATCAGTTCAAATTTAGTTATGGCTATGCTCAAATATCCCTTTAAAGCTTTTCGCAAAGATTCTAAAACAAACAGACAAGTAAAGCAATCATAAAATTAATAAATATGGATCGTTTTTAGTCGTCATCACTTGAAGTTTCATGACTACATTTCTACAAAATACCCAGTGTCTTGGAAAGAACACGACAAAATACCCAGTGTCTTACGAAGAGCGCTACAAAATACCCACTGTCTTACGAAGAGCACTACAAAATACTCAGTGTCTTGGAAAGAACACTACAAAATACCCAGTGTCTTGGAAAGAACACTACAAAATACCCAGTGTCTTACGAAGAGCACTACAAAATACTCAGTATCTTACGAAGAGCACTACAAAATACCCAGTGTCTTGGAAAGAACACTACAAAGTACCCAGTGTCTTACGAAGAGCACTACAAAATACCCAGTGTCTTAGGAAGAACACTACAAAATACCCAGTGTCTTAAGAAGAACACTACAAAATACCCACTGTCTTAAGAAGAACACTACAAAATACCCAGTATCTTAGGAAGAGTACTACAAAATATTAAGTGTTCTGAGAAGAACACTACAAACTACTTTATGTCTTAGGAAAAGCACTTCAAACACTCAATGTCTTAAGAAGAACACTACAAACTACTTTATTTCTTAGGAAGAGCACTTCAAAATACTCAATGTCTTAAGAAGAACACTACAAACTACTTTATTTCTTAGGAAGAGCACTTCAAAACACTCGATGTCTTAAGAAGAACACTACAAACTACTTTATTTCTTAGGAAGAGCACTTCAAAACACTCAATGTCTTAAGAAGAACACTACAAACTACTTTATTTCTTAGGAAGAGCACTTCAAAACACTCAATGTCTTAAGAAGAACACTAAAAATTACTTTATGTCTCGGGAAGAGCACTTCAAACAACTAGTGTCTTAAGAAGAACAGTACAAACCACTTTATCACTTAGGAAGAACACTATACAAAAAATAAAACTTTTATGAATAAAATTTGTTCCTTAGATAGATAGGTAGATAGATCCATGGAATCTAATCAACATTATATATTAATGTGGTGTTACGAAAAGTACGAGTAAAAAGCGAACTTTACTTGAAATGTCGGAAGTACCGTATTTTTCGGAATATAAGACGGTGTATAAGACGCACCCTTATTTTGAAGACAAAGTTTTGGGGGGAAAAAAAGCTACAGTCGCATTTCAAAGATTTTTATTGAACAAAAATTCAATTTGATATTTTAAAAAATAGTAGATATTGTTCTAAACACAAAAGAGCTCAAAATAAGAAAATACCGTAAATCAAAAAAAGGTTTACTAGTTATTTAGTTTGGTTCAATAACCTAC